CTGTTTGACTAGAAGTGTTGGATTTAACTTCACTTCGGCTATTAATGAATTATAGCAGTACGTCCGAGGTCCTTAACCTCGGACCTATCCTTACACTATTCCCCCCTCGAAGTCATTCACTTGTGAATGATTAGTGTGGAAGATGAGTGTAGATGGGGGTAGTCAATATAAAAATGTATGACAGGAAGTCGTGTTTTTGGCTACAGTCGAGGTGAAAATGCATGACATAAAGTCATGTGTTTTGGGTCATAGCCAAGGAAAAAATGCATGACACGGAGTCATGTGTTATAGCTATAGCTGAAGTAAAATTGCATGACACGGAGTCATGTGTTATGGCCGTAGCCAAAGTAAAATTGCATGACATGGAGTCATGTGTTATGGCCGTAGCCGAAGTAAAATAGGTGACTCGGGGTCACTATGGCTATAGTCGAAGTAAATAATGATGATCGGAGTCATAGTGGCCGGAGCCGAAATAATAAGTAATGACCGGAGTCATGTGGCCGGAGCTGAGGTAATAAGTAATGACCGGAGTCATGTGGTCGGAGCCAAGGTAATAAGCAATGACCGAAGTCATAAGGGCCAGAGCCGAAATAAAAGTAATGATTGAAGTCATGTGGTTGGAGCTGAAATAAAATGTGTGACTCGAGGTCACTATGGCCGTAGCTGAAGTAAAGATGCATGACCCATAGTCATGTGTTATGGTTGTAGCTGAGAATGATGACTTGAAAATGGTGACTCGAAAGTGACGATTTGCAACCTTATCAGCCATAATAATGGAAGTCAGACTTTTGAGAGTCATGCTTTATAGAGCTAGGATCGAAACCAGTTTTTGTAGAGTTGATTGAATGCCAATTTTGGTAGTTGGAGATGCCTACCACAGAATCCCACCTTGAGATGCCCATAAGAAAATCTTAGTCTCTCGAGTCATAGCATAAAATCAAACCCCTTTGAGGGTTGTGCTTTGTAGAGTTAAGATTGAACTAAGCTTTCATAGAACAAATGAGCTGAGAAGCTGATAGTTGATGGACGCAAGCTCTTGTAAATCGAATGGGCTAAAAAAGCCAATAGCTAATGGGCTCAAAGGCCAATAGCATTTTCTGATGAACTGATGAGTTTAAAAGCTGATAACATATTTCTTAGTCTTCCAAGCCAAGGAGTTAACAAACTCTTGAGACCTGTAAAAATTCATTCTAAACATAGAACTTGACAAGATGCCATTAGTTTGTCAATAGTCAATAATACATGAGATACATCAACATTAAAGTGGCACAATAATTTGGAATTAAATATAAATATTTGTGACATGAGTCATCAAAATAAACAATGCTAAAATATGAGTTTCAAAATATATTCAAGCAGCAAGTTAAGCACATGCCAAGTAAAATATGAAAGTTTATTTTTGTTGCTTATGTATTCCTACTCCCCCTCTCAAAAAGAGATTTATCTCTTTAAGTTAGAACCAATAATAAAGACCACCAGCTCATGGATATCACTAGCTTGTGGATTATTCCACCATTTGCATGAGGCTCCACAAATGTATTAATATAAATAAATGTCATTTAAGCCACTCACTTTTAGTTGAAACATGAAGAACATATTATATTCAATATATTTAATAAATAGGGGCTCAGCATATCTTATTGATGAATGGCCCATGAGAGGTGGAACACAGGATAGCTGGTGAAATGGCAAGCTGGTTGCAAGCTAGACCTGAGCTTAGCTGTCATAAGGATGAGCTCAAGCAGTTGAGTTCATTCAAGGTTTACCTCATCCAAGGTAGTTGACCTTGGAAAGGGCTATCATGAGGATGAGCTCAAGCAGTTGAGTTCATTCGAGGTTTACTTCATCCAAGGTGGTTGGCCTTGGAAAGGGCGATCATGAAGATGAGCTCAAGCAGTTGAGTTTATCTGAGGTTGTTTACCTCATCCAAATGGGCTGTCATGAAGATGAGCTCAAGCAGTTGAGTTCATCCGAGGTTACTTACACCATCCAAGGGAGTGCACCTCGGAATGGATTGTCATGAGGATGAGCTCAGGCAGTTGAGTTCATCCGAGGTTGCTTACACCATCCAAGGGAGTTCACCTTGGAATGGGTTGTCATAAGGATGAGCTCAGGTAGTTGAGTTCATCCGAGGTTTACCTCATCCAAAGTAGTTGACCTTGGACTACCATCGCACTATTCCCCCTCTAGGAGTCATTCACTTGTGAATGATGTGGAGGTTACGTGGGTAGGGGTAGTCCGAGTTAATCCGAGGTTGTTTGCCTCATTTGGGGTCATTTGCCTCATCCGGGGTAGTTCACCTCGGACTAGGCTGTCACGAGGATGAGCTCAAGCATAGGCTGAGTTCATTCGAGGTTGTTTACCTCATCCGAGGTAGTTCACTTCGGAATGGGTTAGCATGAGGATTAGTTCAAGTAGTTGAGTTGATCCGAGGTTTACATCATCCAAGGGAGTTCACCTCGGAATGGACTGTCATGAGGATGAACTCAACCTAGTTTATGAACTTGTTTAAGTTCCTAAGTCAGCTCATGAAGTTCCTATTGTTAAAGTCCAAGGCTGACCATATTATATGATAAGGATATAGATATATATATATATCTATATATATCTCTAGCTCAGTATCATAGTTAATAACTGTAACTAAAGTAAGTTATGAAGCTGCATCTTTTAATCATAGGTTCCTATTAGAAGTCATAATAGATGACTCTTCTCCCCCCCTTACCCTGCACATTTGGGGCTGCTAAACATAAATGTTGTAATCATAAATTACACTATTCGCATTTTTATGCTTGAACATGTCCAATAAACAAGGAGTCATGCATGTGGTAATAAAAAGTCTTTCTAGCTTGTAAATATAAGAACAAAAATTGGACATGCAAAATAACTCATAAAAATCTTAAATGTGCAAAGTAATTTTGAAATTTCTAATATGTAACACTTACTTGACTTGCAGAGTAGAATTAATTTATACTTGAGAAAGAATTGTGCTTGATGAGGTAGAAACTCGAGAAAGAATTTAGCTTCTTATGAATGATGTTAACTCCTTCTTGCTGTGACTCAAGAGCAAATGTGGAGAGAAAAAATCTAGCCTCTCATGAATGATGCCAGAGAAGAAATTTACTTGATCATCTTTGTAAGCTATTGAGCTTCATGGTTAGGGCCCGTAGCCTTTTAAAATTGGATGGAGGAGTTGTTCATAGCTCCTATATAATGTTGATGGAGGATCTCACCATAAAGTGATTTCTCTAGAACCCACCTCACATGGAGTCCCTGCACTTTTCCATCTCTAAAATAGCAACATATATTTATAATCATAAGTGCAAATGAGCAAATTAGCATGATTATGATATAAAAAATGAGATGGCAAAATGATATTATGAATGCAAAAACAAGTGCAGAATGAATGGAAAAATGTGGAATGAATGTAAAGAATGTGGAAAGCAATTAATAATAAATTTTAATAAGATTGGACCAAGCTTGGACCAAAGCTCTAATTTGCTGCAGAGCTCAATTGCTTTCTTGACAACCTGTATCACAAGGACTTGAAAAGAGGAGAAATTAAAGCATCCAGTCTTATAATCAAGAAAATATATTGTGTAAAATAAATAAGAGAAAAAGATTGTGAGTTCATCTTTTTTAATTTTCAAAGCAATACATGACTAATGAATTAAATTTATATACATATTAATGTAGCATCTATGCCTTGATATTATTGATATTTGAATGATTTGTATAAAAATTTACGTAATTGTATATAACATTCATTCTATGTAGAAAAGGATTTAATTAGAAGATGTCATAATTCTTAGGAATAAATTGCAAAGATATGAAATTTAAGGATTAAATTATGCAGAATCCAAAAGTAAGGGGTCGGGACTGTAATTTTACCGTTAACAAAATTCGCAGAGAAGGACAAAAACCCGACACGGACTCTTCAGGACGAATGCAGGAGAAGTGTCGGCACCTTGTTGAGGGTGTTGACACCTTGCAGCTCGTGCTGCATATCTTTCAATTCATGCTCGTCCTCTGCACCTCGTGTTCAAGTTCTGCACTTCATGCTCGGCCTTTGCAGCTCGTGGCTGACCTTGGCAGTTAAGTGTTTGACCTTTGCAGCTTGTGCTTGAGTTCTGCGCTTCGTGTTCGACCCCTGCACTTCGCACTCGACCTCTGCAGCTTGTGTTCGAGCTCGGCAGCTCGTTTGGAGCCCTGCAGTTCGTGCTTGACAGCTTGTGCTATACAACTCGTGCTCAGCAGCTCCAAAGATCTTGCCCGAGTTCTGCATCGTGCTTGTGAGCTCGGCAACTCGTGCTTTTGAACTCAGCAGCTCGCAGCTCATGTTCTTGCAGTTCGCTTCTCATGCTCCTGCAATTCCCAGCTCGTGTTGCAGCAGGGACTTTACAGCTCGTTATTGTCAAATTTCCACGGGATAATAACTCCAAATGGCTTGCTCGTTACAGCTCGTTATTCACAACTTTATTGGCAAATTTTTCAAGCCTCCAACTGGTTCGGTGATGCTACGTGGGCAGTTGAATGCCTCTGCTCTCAACTGAGCATGAGATGAGACTACTGGCTTCTCAGAGCAGCATGTGTGTTCCCAGTAGTGGTTGAACTGTCATCTTGAAGGGTGGTGTCCAGTACCTCCAGAGCTTCCATCTCTAACACTACCATCAGCATTTTCTGTCATTGGAACCATAGTCTTTTGCTCCCTAACAGCTGATTGGATTCTTACTTAAGTGACTTTAGGCTACGAAAGAAAGGATGACAATATTGCTAAGGCTTCTTCCCCAATTGCCCGAAAGTACTTACTTTCTAGCCAGCTACGTACCTTCAAAATCAATTTTCATTAATTACATATATGTAAAGTAGAAACCAAAATGCAAAGTTATAAAGGCAGAAAACCAATATCTAGAATCGAATCCTTTGGAAGGAGAACAGTAAAATCCAAAAAGCTAAAAAGGCTTTTGAGTAGGTTTTCAGAGGGTTGCAAAAATGTAGTAGATTCTACTTCCTAAGATCTGGTGAAACTTGTGCAGATGGTTGCAAAAAATGAAAGAGATTTTATTTGAAAATGATGCAATCTTAGAAAATATGGAGTAATGGAGAAAAGAATGAAGGCAGTGAAAGTGGTGGACGCTGGAAAAACAGTTATTTGTGTAGTGAAATTAAGCAGTTGGTTTGCTGAGAAAGGCTAAATGGTGCTGGACTGCCTTGCTTCTGCCGAGCCGGTGCACTGCTTTGAGCTTTGCCGCTGCCGAGGTGGACTGCTTTGTTGCTACCGAACTAGGCTGTTGTGCTGCTGCCGAGCTGGTGCGCTGCTTTGGGCTTTGGCGCTGCCGAGCTGGACTGCTTTGATTCTGCTGAGCTGGAGTGCTGTTGAGCTTTGCCGCTTTGCTGCTACCGAGCTGGGCTGCTCTGCTGCTACCGAGCTGGAGCATTGCTTTGAACTTTATCGCTGCCGAGCTGGACTGCTTTGATGCTGCCGAGCTGGGTTGCTCTACTGCTGCCGAGCTGAACTGCCTCGCTTCTGCCGAGCTGGGATGCTCTGCTACTGCCATCAAGCTCGAACTCAGCTTCTCATTGAGGGCAATAACGTGCCTTTTGGCTGAGAGGTGAGGCTGCAGTTCTTCATGAGCAGAGGACAATGGTATTCGAGCATCTCGGACTATGACAAAGTCGGAAGGCTTAAGGCGTTGGCGGATGGCGCAGGTGGCGTCGAACCTCCGACCTCCTCCATTGATTGAACTCTGTTGATCACGTCTCGTCTGAGCTGTACTTGTTTCACTCCGGCTCTACTATCCTACGCGGCGAACCTCTGGCCTCCTTCATTGATTGAACTGTGTTGACCACGGCGCCTCTTTTATTTTATGAAATAGGCTCTCGATAATTGTGTAAAGCTGAACCTCGATAATTGTGCAAATCTACTCCTCTGTTTATCTTCTTGTGAAAGCTTCTCTTCTTTACAAGCGAATAAACCCATTCTGTAAATTCAACAGATCTATTTTGTGAAAACTTCTCTTTTTCACAGGCAAACAAACTCACTCTGTAAATTCATCAAATCTACTTCTGCAACTCAAAGAATAGGCAAATTCATTAGATCTACTTCTGCAACTCAAAAGAATAGGCAAATTCATCAGATCTACTTCTGCAACTCAAGAGAATAAGCCATTGGCCTTTCACTCATCTTCTCTTCCCTCTAATCAACCGGATCAACATAGAAATAAAGCTTTTTATTCGTTTCTCACAGACGACGCCAATGTAATTGCACCAAACCAGAAATCCTTCTTTAGTCCGCATCTTCACTTCGGATGTACCTACAAAGCCCCGAGGTGGGTCCTCGGGGTAGACACTCCGATGCTTAAGTCAGCAATAATCGGGACTACCTTTAGGGCGGAGATAAAAAGAGCTTAGGG